ATGATGATGATGATGATGCTGATGATGCTGATGATGATGATGATGATGATTATGATGATGCTGATGATGATGCTGATGATGATGGTGATGCTGATGATGCTGATGATGCTGATGATGCTTATGATGAGAATGATGATGATGCCGATGATGATGATGATGAGGATGATGATGCTGATGATGATGATGATGCTGATGATGATGATGCTGATGATGATGATGATGATGATGATGATGATGATGATGATGATGATGATGATGATGATGATGATGATGATGATGATGATGATGATGATGATGATGATGATGATGATGATGATGATGATGGGGAGGAGGAGGAGGAGGAGGAGGGAGGAGGAGGAGGAGGAGGACGAGGAGGAGGAGGATGATGAGGAGGAGGAGGAGGAGGAGGAGCAGGAGGAAGAAGATGAGAAAAAGATGAGGAGGAGGAGGAGGAGGAGGAGGAGGAGGAGGAGGAGGAGGAGGAGGAGAGGAGGAGGAGGAGGAGGAGGAGGAGGAGGAGGAGGAGGAGGAGGAGGAGACCAGGAGGAGGAGGGATGAGTAGGAGGAGGATGCGAGGAGGATCAGGCGGAGGAGCAGGAAGAGGGCAGTTGGAGGACAAGGAGGGAGCTGGAGGAGCGGAGGATGAGGTGAGGAGGAGGAGGAGGGGAAGAGCAGGAGGAGAGGAGGAGGAGAGGAGGAGGAGGAGGAGGAGGAGGAGGGAGGAGGAGGGGGAGGGGGAGGAGGAGGAGGAGGGGGAGGGGGAGGAGGAGGAGGAGGAGGAGGGAGGAGGAGGAGGAGGAGGAGGTGGAGGAGGTGAGGAGAAGGAAGAGGAGCAGGAGGAGGAGGAGGACGAAAATTATGATGATGAGGAGGTGGAGGAGGAGGAGGAGGAGGAGGAGGAGGAGGAGGAATAGGAGTAGGAGGAAGAGGAGGAGGAGGAGGAGCAGGAGGAGGAGGAGGAGGAGGAGGGCCAGGAGGATGAGGAGGAGGAGGAGCAGGAGGAGGAGGTAGAGGAGGAGGAGAGAGAGGAGGTGGAAGCAGAGGAGGAGGGGGAGGGGGAGGAGGAGGAGGTGGAACAGGAGCAGGACGAGGGGGGGGGGAGTATGAGGAGAAGGATGAGTTGGAGTTGGAGGAGGACGAGGAGGATTGGATTGGATTGACACTTCGGGGGGACAAGGCTGAGCCTTCCAGCAACGAAGGTTAGAGGGATAGCCTGCACCGCCCCGCGGCACAGGGTCCCCCTCCAACCAACATGCCAGAAACCACAACCTCCGAGCCAAGGGACGCCACGCATGGTCTCAGCACAACGCCCAGGAGACGGCAAGCTCGAGGCCGTTGCCTCGACACGAACAGTAAGCTACACAAGCGACTGCTCCACATCATCATCGTCATCCTCCTCTCGTTCTCCTGGCCTCCACCACCCAAATGCTTACGAGCGGGGCGGAGGGGCGAAGGAGGGAGGAGAATATGGTTTGAAGGGGAGGGGAATAAGGGGAAAGACGCCGAAAAGGCGAAGCGCTGCCGCCTCACCTCGACCTTGCCCTTCCCCTCGCCCCTGCCCTTGCAATTGTTCAGCGCGGCCTGGCATTCCTTGCACCGGGCCGCCCCGCTCTGGATGGCGAACCGGCGCATGCGCACGCAGGCGCGGCAGTCAACGACGAGTCCGCCGTCAATCCAGTCCTTGCCTTTACCCTTGCCCTTGTAGTTGTCCTTGCCCTCGAGGGGGGGGGAAGAGACCACGGGTCGGCGCCAGCAGCCCATGGATCAGGGCGTGTACCGGCACGCACAGCCATATCATTGTTACTGTTCTTGCCCTTGCTCATGTCCGTGTCGTCGTCCGTGCCTTTGACCTGCAAGGAACGAGAAGCCGGAAGATCCGAATGAGCAGGAACTTCACACGCAGGAGCCCGAGGAGCAACTGGAGGGCCACTGTCGCCAGCAGCATCAGCAGCGCCGCCCTCGGCAGCATGGTGTACCTCGGCGGGCGCAGCGGCGTGCGGCCGCAGCGCGGCAGCCAGAGCCCCTGCGAGGCGCGAAGGCTGCACGCCGCGGTGCTCAGACAGGTCGTCAAAGGCGCGCAGCAAGTGCGCCGTGGCCCGGGCCTCAGCGCGCAAGTACTGCGCCCGCCTGGCCGCCGCCGACCGGTTGGGGCGGCGGCGCTTCGGCGCAGCGTCGGCATCAGGATGCCCCTCCATGACACTGCTGGTGAGGGCGGGAGGCAGGGGCAGGGAGGGCGGCGCGGGAGGCGCCAATGGCGCGGGCTGGCAACCAGGCCCTGCCTGTGCCGAGCTGGCGCTAGGAAGAGGAGGAGGAGGAGGAGGAGGAGGAGGAGGAGGAGGACGAGGAGGAGGAGGAGGAGGAGGAGGAGGAGGAGGAGAACCAGGAGGAGGAGGAGGAGAAGGAGTAGGTGAAGGAGGAACAGGAGGGTGAGGAGGAGGAGGAGGAGGAGGAGAAAGAAAAAGAAGAAGAGGATGAGGAGGCGAAGGATGCGAGGAGGAGGGGGGGAAGGAAGAGGAGGATGATGAGGAGGAGGAGGCCAGACAGGTTGCGAGAAGGATGCTGTCGGATTGCACAGCCTTTGAGGCTGACTGGCCCCTTATATCATAGCTGGATAATGTACATTGGAACTGAAGTCTGATGCAAGACGAGGGGTTGTCATGCCACCGATGCCACAGACATGTGGCAACTAATACTTAACGCATTATCTGCCCTTTGGGTACTGTTACTGGCCGGACAGCATCACATCTTTTGGGAGGAGTTGGAACAATTCGGGATCGTGGGGTAGCTACATAGCCAATAATGATGGGGCAACGGAAATGAAAGCAGAGGCAGGAGATGCGAAATAAGGAAGCGAGGAAGAAGGATCAGACATGAAGAAAAAGGAGGACGGGGCAGGGACGGCGGATGCAGGAAGTGAGGAGGACAAGACGGCACAACCGATAACACCTGCAAACGCATTCAGAATTCCAAACTTGGCACGCAAGTTCTGACGTGGGCGTCGTTTTCGCGCGAGTCGCCCGTCGGGAGCGCCCGACACAAGACCGTGAGATTTGCGATCCTTGCAGCAGTGGCCTGATTTGGCACCATTTTGGCGCCAGCCTCCCGTCGGGGACGCCCGACCCCGACACAAGAGTGTGCGAGACATGCGAATACAACAGTGGTGACCTGACGTAGGCACCGTTTAGGCGCGAACCGCCCATCGGGAACGCCCGACCCAGGAAAGGGCAATTGTGCGATAACAGCTGCTGACTGGAAGTGGGCGGCGTCCTGTGCTCTTCCCATGATGCTCGCGGCACGGCGTGGATGCTGAAGGTGCCCGGCATATAACCTACAGTCATGTACCCAAGACGGGAACTCAGGAGGAACCGGGTGGGGGCAACACGCGAGGGAGAGAACGAGGGGGGAGAATGATGAGGAGAAGGAGGAGGAGGAGGACGATGACGAGGATGATGATGATGATGGTGATGCTGATGCTGATGCTGATGATGATGATGATGATGATGATGATGATGATGATGATGATGATGATGATGATGATGATGATGATAATGAGGATGAGGATGATGCTGGTGATGAGGATGATGCTGCTGCTGATGATGATGATGACGATGACGATGATGATGATGACGACGATGATGATGATGATGCTGATGATGATGATGCTGATGCTGATGATGATGTTGATGATGATGGTGATGACGATGATGCTGCTGATTATGATGATGATGATGATGATGATGATGATGATGATGATGATGATGATGATGATGATGATGATGATGATGATGATGATGACGGAGGAGAATGATGGAGGCGATGATGGAGGAGGAGGAGAAGGAGAAGGAGGAGGAGGAGGAGGAGGAGGAGGAGGAGGAGGAGGAGGAGGAGGAGAGACAGCTACGGGGAACAGCGACGTGATCTCCAGCAGGTGTGTGTGTGTGTGTGTGAGTCTTCTTTGGCCGCCTTTCCTTCCGCCCGCCCGTGGCCTCGACGGTCTGCCCCGCCAGTGGCCGGTCCAGCACTCCCGCGGTTCGGTCTCGCTGGCGAGCCGAGCTTGCCGCAATCCCGCCCACTCTGTGGGCAGTTGCGGTCAGCATCGCCGGCGGGTGAGGGGGGGAAATGAGAAGGAGAGAACGACGGTAGGTTTTTCGCTATTTTCGGCCCCTGGGGGCCCTCATTGGTCCTCGGGACCGTCGAAAAACGACTCAGGATCAAAAACCGGTCCTGGGGAAAGGGTCCGGACCTCTGGGGGTCGCGTCATGAAAAATCATAATGTCGGGGGTCTGGGAGTGGCCCTATCAGGGGCAACGACTGTCGGCGGCGAGCGAGGGGGGGAAGTGAGGAGGAGAGGATCTTCTCAGAAGGCGGCGGGACTTCTCAGAAGCCCTCGTGCCCTTCGAGAGGTTTTTTGTGTGTCTTCCGGGAAGGCCCAGAGAACTTCTCAGATGGCCGGGGGGACTTCCGAGCTTTCTGAGGAGGCCCGCCCCTTCTCGCTTCCACCCTGTGCTCGCCGCCGACACTATCTCGTGCTGACCGTGTCGCGCCGCCAGTTCCCGCCGCGCTTCGGCGCGACGCGCCGAACAGCTCCTGGTCCCAGACAGTGAGGGTCCGAGTCTTTCCCAGCCTCCCGCCCCGCAGAGCGGAGCGACGCGCTGTCAGCTCGCATGGCGTTGCGAGTCGCTGGGGCCGCCGCCGCGACGCGGTGCGCAAACGTTCCCCACCGTACGTTTCTTCAGTCTGCCTTGCAAGGTTCATTCCTATGCGATCGATCCGATCTGGTATTTGTTTCGGGTGGCTTGGTCCGATTCGGTTCCGACATTCCGACGACCCGATGCTGCCTGATGGTTGCATGGCACTCGTGTGCGTCCTGGCGCGGCCGATTCGATTCGATTCCGACTCAGTGCCGATGCGGCCCGATTGGATGTACGTTCCGACTCGATCCCGCTCGTCGGTTCGGTGTTGGTCACGCTTTGCCTTGAGACGCTCGTCCGTCCATCGACGCTCGGAGGAGAGCTCTGGCTGAAGGCCCTGAAGATGATTGTGCTGCCGATGATCGTGTTCTCCATGATTCAGTCCATGGTCGTCGCTTTGATTTTTGCTCATATTCAAGTTTGAACATTCAGCAGTCATTGCAGATATGAATAATGAATATCAGAAGGATGCGCCTTAGAGAGCCCTGCATCCTCTCGATTGTGGGACCCGCCACGTCCAATTGCGCCGCGCGCTCGAGACCAGCCGTGAACTGATGCCAGGCGCCCAGAACGCGCCAGGATGCCAGGGTCCTCTTCAAGCCGAGGAAGTCGAGAGCATGCAAGTCGTGCACCCCTGGCCCACTGCATCCACGAGACCATCCTGACCCTCGTCCTCCCCACCCTCATCCTGATCTGTAGCCTCGTTCCAGTGTGAAGTATCGTAAGGCATTGTTGACTTCATGCTGATCCGCACCAGCTTGCTCCTGCTCGCCCCAGAAGGGGCACATCCAACAAGAAACCAGCTTGCGTTCTCATTGCCTGTGCCTATTGTGCCCCCCCCCTCGTCCTCCTGGTGTTACTCCCTCTCGTCGCCTTCCTTGTCCTCGGCCTCCGCCTCCCCGTCCTGGTCGTTCTCCTCCTTGTCCTCCTCGTCCTGGTCATCCTTGCGATTGTCCTGCTCGTTTTCGCTCTCCGCCCCGTGCGCCTCCTCCTTGTCATCGTCCTGCGCCGTCCTCGTCGCCGTCGCGACGTCTTCTCCGTCGTCGTCGTCGGCGTCCTCCTCCTCCTCCTCTTTCTCTTCCTCTTCCTCCTTCTTGTCCTCGTCGTCCGTCGTCCTTCTTCTCCTCCTTCCTCGGCGCCGTCGCCGACCTCCTTCCACTCCGCCTCTTCCTCCGTTTCACTCCCCTGCCACAAAGAACATTTCGAAACTCCCAGGAGGTGCTCAATGGCTACCAGAAACCTTCTTACTGGTAGCCAGCGTAGACCCTAAGCAGTGATGGGTACAAACTTGGTGGCGCAATCAGTGTGGTGAAATCTAGGTGTTGCAGTCCATGTGTTGTAATCTATGTGATGCAGCGCAATGCAAAGCAGTGCAACTCCATGCAAAGCAATGCAAAGCAACGCCAAGCACTGCCAGCCAATACAAAGCAGTGCAACTCAATGCAGAGCAGTGCAAAAAAGTGCAGAGCAATGCCAAGGAATGGAGAGCACTTCAGAGCAATGCAGAGCAATGCACATGAATGCAGAGCAATGCAAAGCAACTTACAGCAATGAAATACAATGCAGAGCAATGCAAAGCATTGCAATGCGCAGCAATGCAATGCAACGCAATGCAATGCACAGCAATACAACGCAAGGCAGGCAATGCAAAGCGTTGCAGAGCAGTGCACATCAGCGCAAATCAATGCAGCGCCGCACAAAAAGCAGTGCGCAGCACTGCGCAGCACTGCGAAGCCACGGCATGCGATGCCGGTGCAGTGCAAGGCAGCGCAGAGCAAGGCGGGCGGCGTCGACGGACGGCTGCGGCGGGCGGCGGCGACGGGAGGCGACGGGCGGCCACCAGCTGGCCGGGCCGACGCCGGGGGCCCAGCTGCCTCAGAAGAGAGAAGCAGGTCACTGCAGTGGAGGCCCAGGCCAAGAGACACCCTGCTTGCCCCCCAGGGTGCCCCGGGTTTCGATGGTTCTTCTATGGGGAGCGTGACGTTCCCACGCCAAACATCAGAGGGCGTCCTGGGGTCTCAGGGTTGGGTTTCTTGTGGACTGGCCTCCACTGTGAGTCACTACTTGCCAAGCCGCCCCCACCCAACCCGAAGGCCCTGGGCCACCCCGAGTTTTGGGCGGGGGGTGTACGGGATCCATCGTGCTTCCTCAACGTTTTGGAGCGCCCTGCCCCCCCATCGGAAATCGACGGGCCCGACGGTGACTTCGGACTGGGTTGGGGCGGCTTGGTGTGTAGTCAGCGAGGACCCCGAAGTGCAAGCGGTGTCTTCTGGGAAAAGGTGACGAGGGCCGACGCAGACCTTCCGAGAGCCTCTGGGGACGACTTCGAGGACCTTTCGCCCTCCCCCCCTCCTCTCCTTCATTCCTCGTTCCTCCTGTCTCGTCTCCTTCCCTCCCTCTCCCTCGTCCCTCTTTCTTTCTCCCTCCCCCCTCGCCCCTCCTCTCCATCTTGGCACTCGGGGCCAGGGTTCCAGTGTGCACCGGTGCTGTCTCCAGCGGCACGCGGTTGCAACGCCCACGCCGAGTCAAACAACGCCTTCCTTCCTCTCCTCCCGGGGGCGGTTCCTTGTGCACCCAGTGATCGAGTAGGGGGTCGATTGCAACTTCCATTCGCCCCAAATTTGGTTTTCCGCTGAATCTACGAAGTTTGCAGAATGTCGTGTTGACCCAAAGTTTGCAGAATGTCGTGTTGATCCACGGAGCACTCTACGTATATGTCCGTTGACTCGTCGGAGACATCAATCTTGTGGTACATCCATGTTGTAGTTGATCTCCTGCTCGAAGTGAGCCTGCGGCCCCGCTGGGGGTGTGGCCGCCTGTGGCGTCTGTTTGCCCCTCCCTCCCTCCGACCAGCGGAGCGCTCCGGCGGAGCGCCGTGGGCTCCTCCCTACGGGCCCGGCGCCCGCGGGAGAGGCCACCCGCAAGGGTGTCAGCCCAGACGGGCTCGCTTCCAGACTTACTTATCGTGGCGCCAACATCGCAGAGCGGATCTCGTTCGGAAAACGATAGGAATGGCCCGGAGTGTCCTGGAGAATTTCGTTCCCGATTTCACGGCGAATTTAGTACGGATCTTTCTTGGCCAGGGATGAAGACCCAACAACATTCCACGCGAAATTAACTTCGTTTTTCGCTCGCCGCCTCGGGCAAAAACACGCGAAATCAACTGCGTTGTTCGCTCGCCGCTTCGGGCAGAAATCCACGCAGAAATCCGCTGCAGCACGTCTGCAAAGTCAGTGCCATGAAACGACCAGGGGGGGTGGACATCATGGCGGGGTCCATGATCTTGGCATCGCTCGGACTTGTAAATTTTTCCTTCGGCGAGGACCATCGAGGAATATGTTTGATCATTTGGCGAAAAAACCACGTACGAAACCGAAAAAAACACAGGGAATGGACGTCCGAGCGATGGCCAGTGATACCTCCCCAGATTTCGTGGCTCCTCTTCTCGTTTCAATGCGTGCCCTGGCCCCCTCTGGGCCGCGCACATGCCTCGTGCCTCGTGCCACGATTTGGGAGACCCCCTCTTGGGCGCCCCCCTCCAGGACGCCTCCGATGATCACCACAAATTATCCGTAAGGGCTTCGCCCCATGCCGCCGGCCCCCTGTCTCGGATAATGGGAGATGCAAAAGCTAAATCATGAGGTCTGGGCGCCGCCTTGAAGCAGTGTCGGGACCTGTTTGTTTTTCGACCCTGACCCTACGGATCTGCGTCACGGGTGCCACCGAATTTCAGAAATGTAGCAAATCCTTTGTGCTTTTGGACCCTGACACTACGGATCTGCGTGAGGGGTGCCGCCGAATTTCAGAAATGTGGCAAATCCCTTGTGTTTTTGGACCCTGACCCTGCCGATCTGCGTGAGGGGTGCTGCCGAATTTCAGAAATGTAGCAACTCCCTTCTGTTTTTGGACCCTGACCCTGCCGATCGGCGTGAGGGGTGCCACCGAATGTCAGAAATGTGGCAAATCCTTTGTGTTTTTGGACCCTGACCCCGCTGATCGGCGTGAGGGGTGCCACCGAATTTCAGAAATGTGGCAAATCCTTTGTGTTTTTGGACCCTGACCCCGCCGATCTGCTTGAGGGGTGCCACCGAATGTCAAAAATGTGGCAAATCCCTTGTGCTTTTTGACCCTGCTTTTACCTACCCCAGCAATTCAGACAACAAGCTCAGGGCGTGGTAAAAATGCCCGTTTTGGGCCTCCCCCTCGCGCGGTCCATCAGAAAGGAACAGTAAGCAGCAAGAAGTCAACAAGGAACAGTAAGCAGCAAGAAGCAGAACTGTAACAATGGAAACTGGAAGCTGCAACTGGTACAGGAAACTGCGAAGCTTCGTCCTACAGCCTGGTGGCCCCACAAGGGGGCCAGTGGATTTCGAGCACCAAGGAAGTGCCGAAACTCCAGGGTTTTCACGCGTCGGGCCTTGGGAGGCGATGCTCGTTCGGCACTTCGTTAGCGTGTCGGGCATCCACTGTTTCGACACTTTTCTGGGTGCTCGAGATTAGTTCTGGGATGTGGTCCTTGAGCACGATGGGGATATCAGAAATTCAGACGACGATCTCGTTTTGGGGGCTGTGATGTTGGCGTTTCTGATGCGTCAGACGGTCGGCGGCGCGCTTTGGGGGAGAAATTGAGGAGGGCCCAGGCCTTCTCATATTTGCGGCGGGGCTTCTCGGAAGCTCTCCGGCCTTCTGAAAAAACCTCAAAGAAAAAACGCCATGTACATAAACCTTGGTCGCTCCGCACGGATTTCTTGGGTCTGCGCTGGGCCCCTCTGGTGGCGCCTCCGGCGCCGCCCCTGGCGCGCTACGACCTGGCCCTGAGGCCGTCAACAAACGACTCAGGAGGAAACAACATTGGTCCCAGGGGTCGGGACTTCCAGGAACCCCGCATGGCATGTCTGGGAAGACAGCTCGCCAACTGGCGCGCTTGTGATCGTTTTCTTATTCATTGTTTTGCCGATCGGCGCGGGCCCTCGCACCCCCCCTACCCCCCCATGGAGTAGATCTTGCCGTTTTTTTTGTGCCTGCTTTCAAGCAGGTGGGGTCTCCCCCACAGCGCGCACTGTTGCAAACAGTCGCGCTAAGCAGAGGTCCGGAGCCAAGTCCGCCCCCCCCTTCCCCCCCCCTTCCGCCCAATGTCGAAACGCCGACTAGGCCGAAAAAGAAAACGCCCACCTCCAGGAAGTTGGGCCGGACGAAGAGGTAGGACAGGGAAATGGGGGGTGGGGTTAAAGTCGACCCGAATTAGTATAGTAGGTCGACCCTGCCTGCGTCTCGCGAACCATGCCTCCTGCATTCCTAGGGCAATGCGGCCCTCGGAAGGGTCTTTTGTCCTCTCGCGTGTCCTGTCCAATGAAGTCCGACTGTACAAAGTCTGC